ATAATAAAAACTGAAAACAAATATTACAAATGTTACAAATATAAAAATATATAGGTGTTTACTTACTCTGAATTCATTTTGGAATTGGAGGAACAACCTGCTGTGTAAGTGAAACTACTATAACTCTGTTTGGAATTTGTGACGCGTTGCCGTGGAAACGTGTTTTCATTCCCGGTCCGGAGTGCAGCTGCTGATGTGTGGTGGTAGGAGGGTTACTGTGAGGGTTAGTTCATGAGTGTTTAGTTAGTTATCTAGTCAGCTGTTTATGTTATTATAGGTTATGGCATGAAATGCTGTTTTTTTATACCGAAGACGTTTAAAACCATAGAAAAGTGTTCATAGCCTAGAAATAAAAGTTAGGCTACATATGACCCAATAATCAGTACACTCAGTGGAGGAATCATGCAATCATGCAATGTATGTAATATATCCTACTTATGTTTAGTAATACAAGTGGATGAAAAAACAACAGCATGGTGTTTGGGGAGTTTTCAGTGATTAAACAAGGTTACTGAAAGTTTAAAACTAATTTAAAGATAAAAAGACACTTTCTACCAATTTTATAAGAAGCAAGATAAATGCCCATAATCATCAAGGCTTTTCTCCAGAAACCAGAGGGCAAAGATGTGATGTCAGTATTATAAACTCAAAATGTATCAACGTGCATTTGTTCATTTATCTCATCAAAAAGAGACTAAAGCAAACATGTCTGACTCCTAACCCTCTGAAATAGTTTTGAGAATGCCCTTACAAGTTTTAATGGAAGTTTAGACTATATGCTAAAACAACAACAACAAAAAAAACAATAAAACAAACAATAAAAAGGGATAGGGTTAGGGATCTTCTTAATATCATCGTTATCACAGTTTATCCAAAGAAGGATAACTTTCCTCTCAACAAAAAAATTGGTTAAAGAAGAAGAAAAATAAACGTTTTGCACCTTTTTTTAGGCTACAGAAAACAAAACCAAATGATCAACACAGGTTATTCTGCGTTAGGTCACCAGTTGAAGAATATGCCTAAATCTTTAACATTTAAATAATCCTGACCCAAAAGTAGGCTATAGAGCTATAGGCCTACTTGTAACCTAAATCTATAGCCTTTACGCAGACTGGGCTATTTTGTGAATCAAATGGACTGAATATTGATGCATATGCTATTGTAGACTATGCGTTGAAAAGTTGCAAGAATTGTTGGATGTCTCTTAAACCGCAAATGTTCATATCTATTGTGAAAAAAAGTTGGTTGTTTTACAAAACCACCTTTGCCTGTTGGTCCAAGTTTTCCCTGTTATATATATGTTAAGTGGGCCTACATTTCTTTTTCCCATCATATTTTTTCACTATAATAAATAAGCGGTACACGCAGATACGTGTTCTTTCAAAATGTAAAGTAGTGGGCTAATGCTTCAAACATGATGTTATTTTTACAAAAGCATATTTTAAAAGTCGGAGCCTATAAGAAGGCTACCTTGTAAAAAATCAAAATCAAAATAATATGCGTATATATTAGGACACAGTTAAATTATTTCTGTTTTGTGGCCAAGTCTGTTTTTCAACATGCAGATCATTTTAATTGCCCGAAATATGCCCTCGAGTTTGAACCATTCACTCCCTGAATGCTGACTCGGGAACATGCGCAGAGCAATGGAAACGGCCTTTAATAAACGACCACTTCAAGTTAACTAGGGAAAACTAATCTGTGACAGGAAGTGCAGGCTTTAGCTTCAGCATAAGAGCACAGTGAATCGCTTTGGACTTTTTGAGTATTAGATGAACCCCACAAATCTTTATTATTTTAGGACACACCCCAGGATATTTAATCGGAGCTAATAATTGTAAAATCCTTAAGCCTTTGCATATTTTGTAGTGTGGAATTCTCAATATTCTTCCAAAGCAAGAAACGAGCAAGCAAAGCCCATCTGTCCCAGTAAGGACTTTTAGTTAACGTTAACACTTTTTATTTAATTTTACTTTAAAATCTAAATTCCTACCTTTTATTGTGCTACACTGATTTGATTTTGACTTTTAGATTAAATTCAAAAGGCTTTCAGGTTTTTGTTTTCTTTTATCCACTGACAAGCAGGGCCTTAAAGTTGTTTCAGACTGAGTAATATTCAGTAATATTGTTTCAGACTGAATAAATATATATTCGTATGTTTAGCCCTAACATTTCAAACTAAGGTTATTTATAAATTACAGTACACAAGTTTACAAGTTCTATATGAAAGAAAAAACGTATTTTAGTAAAGTGATTCCAGTAAGTCCATACTAGCTTTGTATTATGTTTACTGATCAATTCATGAGAACATACTTAATTATGATCAACAGTACGTTACTCTTTTTTATTGATAGCTCACATTCTCCTGCAGCCTCTACGAATAACAAAACAAACAAACAAAAAAATGACCGGGCTTTGCTTTATTTTGAAATTTCTGACCGGAAACGCCTGCCTTTGCACATGTAATTTGACGCTGTTTAATTACAGCGAGTGGTTGCAAGGTAACTTCCTCCTCCAATCCTGGCTTTTTTCCTTCGTGGGGCTAGTTGTGAAGCTCAGGCAGTGCAAATGTGTGAGGAGGGACACAGCGTAACAAAATGATTTTTGATTTTTTATCTCTCTTGAACGTCGAGTGAATTTGTCACTTTCTTTTTGCGAACGACAAGCGATAATGTTGGCGTCATGAAGACTCTGCTTTTCAGACTTTGGAAAACAAATCCGGTATTGTCGGTGAATTCTCGGGAGATGGCAGAATAGTTCGACCTGCGCCAAAACACCGAGCCATCATAAAGCACTTTGAAAAAAAACCACCCGCAAGGTAAGTGTTATCATTACGTAATTCAAATCCTATATTAACCAAACTTACGCTTTCATGTCTGTAATGTATCAATGTTACAATTCACTTAGTATCAAGGGGAAATAGACATTTTGGTAGACGTGGAGAGAAGTTAGCTGACTCGCAGGGAAATGTTTCGTGACGTGATTCTCCCATGAATCCTGTCTCCTTCCCCGATTTTCTTCCCAAAATCTTGGCCTGTGAGAAGGCTTTTTGCATCTTAAATATGATAAGCTTTAACCAGTGTATACCTTGTTTTGAGGGGCACGTCATAGAGATGTTTTTTTTGGTGATAAATGGTGATGAGTCCATCATCAAAACCCTTTAATTAAATACCTTTGGTCTGCTGGGCGACTGCTCACCACATCGCGACTAGTTGTGACTTTGTTAGGAGTTTTTTTGTCATGCAAACAGTCTTTGGGAGGGTCGTTCCTGCTTGATCGTGTGTCTCATCATCCCCTGCTGAGCTCTCTTAACATCACAATCACAGCACAGGAGGGGGGGAGAGCCAAAAACACAGGCAAAACACACAGCATTGTTTACAGTGGGTTCAATTTGGAACTTGTTTACAGCGAAGAAACGTTTTAACATCAACACAAGTCTTATTAAAAGTCTGTGATCTAGAAACACAGTTAATCAGTGAGTACAGTATGTTATTCTTCTTTTCTCTAGTCCCTCAATTAAACAACTTTTATACATGAGGGGAGGAGTCAGCCGGCCGTCCCGACGATATAAACAAAGTGAAGCTACGGCTAGGAAAGCTTGGAAAACTCTGAAAACATCACAGACAGTGGGACTCGGGTGTTACACCCATTGTAGACAGTCATGACTCACAGAGTTATTTTCAGAGGAGATACTTGATTTATATTACATTTAAGTGTGAAAAATTGCATATAAAGCCCTTAAGTATATGGTATCTCTGTACATACATTTCCTTGTCTCCCATTAAACACACTGACCTCATTAATCAATCAGTCTTTATTTGTATAGCACCAATTCATAACAAGTGTTATCTCGAGACACTTTACAAAAAGCAGATAAAAGACCTTACTCTTTATTATTTAATGTTACAAAAGAGCAGTTAAAAAGAGCATACTCATTGCTATATTACAAAGACCCAGCGATAATCCATCATGAGCGTAGCACTTAGCAACATTTAACAAAAGTTACAGTGGCAAGAAAAAACTTGCTTTTAAGAGGCAGAAATCTTGGGCAAATCCCAACAGTTTTGTTAGAGTAAACTTTGATCTAGCTGGATTCGTAATCATTCATAATCATCATAAACTGCAGAAAAATATTCAGTAAATTACATCTGATAAGTACACCAGGAGTCCCAGCAATACATCTGTTGTGCTTAACTCTGGTGTCAGTGGTGTAACAGTTAAGTTTTTTGTGTAAACTGAAAGTACTAAACAGCAATGGTCAAGTGTCCTTCGATGGCTGCGGTCTGCCGTAGAGTCTGTAGCCATGTTTAAAGAAAAATGTGATCACTATGAGTCAACAACAAGGTGCTGGAATAACAAACTGAGATACTGTAGATGTGTTCAGGGACAGTGCTACAACGATAACAATGTGTTTCCTTGAAAATGGAAGTGTATGCATGTCACTCTGACTTTCTTCAATTTCTACAACAACAACCAATTGTTCTGCTTTTATACATCAGAAGGATATGTTAACGTTGCCTTTGTTGTTTTTCACATACTTCATCCTGTAAAAGTAGCTTTTTCTAAAACACAGAAATAGTGCAAAGGACTTGATAAAACCTGTCTCCATTCCTAAGTAGCTCCTTTCCAACCTCTGATCTGTAACATCTTGGGAAAGAAGCAGTTACTGAACACTTGCTATGTACTGGATCTCTCTGATGATAAATGTTTCTGAATGTAAATGTCTGAGAGAACACTGGGGAGTTCAAGCATTTATGATGCGCTGAGCAGACGTAGCATAACGAGAAGGAAGAAAGTTACAGCTGATAGATGTGATCTCTTGAGTCTGCTCTGTGGATCCCAGCAAACACAGATTTGTTTATGATGAAAGAAAATAAATGAACTTTTCCCTCAAATATCAGACGTGGAAGCCTAGTTGGCAAAATAAAATAAGTCATATTTGATTTTTTTTTAAATTAAAACTGTGTGTATTCTAAACTATTTTAGATGTTGTTGTTATGATGTCATCCTTTTATTACCAGATACACTTTGTGAAAAGCCAGCAAGATAACATCACTGCTAAGCTTCATGCAGAGTACCTGGGCTTGGAGGAGGAGATCACTGGCCTTGAATTGGAGGTACATTTCTCTCTTCTGTTTCTATATCATCCTTCTGTTTCAGCTCATTTGAATCTAAAGTCTGTATTAGAGCTTACACCTGAGCTTGAAAGGTTCCCACCAAAAGAACGTCTAAACTCTACAACTTGTAGCTCAAAGATCATGATACTTTTCTCTGCAGAAATATTTAACTGGTACTTCAGATAATCTTGTGGACATAGAAGAGCTTCCAGAGGAGGTTTTGGATTCAGATTGCCCCTATCCAGAACTACAAGACTCACTAATCCAGACCTTCCAGTCCCTAGCAGAAAGGTACCACAGCAGGATCCAGAACCTCAGAGAGCAACTGCAAACAACTCATAGGTAGGCCTTGACTGAATGAGAAAATTATGTTCAGCTGCTTATATGACATATGTGTGATGCCACTCTCTACCATATCTTTCTATCTCTTAATAAAATAAGATTTTTTCAAGATATTCCATTAATAACATGATTCTGTCTATTGGCAAAGCTTGGCAGATCAAGATAGTAAAAACTCAGCAGGACATAAACAGCACATAGATGCACACTCAGTTCACTGAAAGACCCAAGTGTTTCTCAGCGGGAGGTTGATTGTATCAGTGTGTCAAAGCCACTACATTACTTGACTTTGATATCCATATGGTCGCTTTTTAGCAATGTTAGCTTCTATTAATAGTGATCAAATCTAGCCTCGCATAATGAAGTCAAGCGATACAATGGAAGGATGACGTCATTTTCTGGTATTATTTTTGATCTGTTTCAGGTTCTTTGGCTGGTGTGCAGATGAACACCAACGCTTCCAGTTCACTTTGTCTCTATACACTCCTCCTGACGTACCAAACCACAGAACACTCTGCATGGATATGCTCCAAAGATTATTCCCTCAGAAAACTAAACAGGAGCTGGTAGGTATTTAAATATAGGTATTAAAAGCAAGGCAAGTTTATTTCTATTGTACATTTCTGCCACAAGGCAATTCAAAGTGCTTACAGAAAAGAAAAGAGAAAGTTCTTAAACCTTTTAAAAAAAAACTTGGAATTCATAAGCAACTGATAAATTGATAGTCAAATAAATAGTTTTATTATGTTTAAGCATAAAAAGGCTCGAAGTTTGGAGATTATTAGCTTTGTTTTTTATTTTATGATTACCAGGTTTCAGGATGTCACATTGAACTTTGGGAATTTCTAAAAACACTTTTCCTTTTTATCTGTCATCTTTGAGACTATCCACCTAATTAATATTTCCTAGGGAAATTGATTGACCCTAAAATGGACAGTTTATCAAGGGAGGTTTTTGCTGAGATCAAGGCTGTCTTTTCCAGGGTGGTTTCTGCACTATTCCATTTTTCTCAAAGCCTTATTCGCATTTAAAAAAATGCATAGAAAGGCCCCACTTCCATTGATGGAGGGACACTTGTGCACATCTACCCACCCACATCTAAAAATGTAATCCCCCTACTCCCCAGTCTGCAGTGTGAGTCCCTGGCTCCCTGATCAATGTGACTCAGTAGCCTGAACTGTGCAGACAGACACACAGATAAGCATGGACAATGATTCGCTCAGCACGCTGCAGGATGTGCCATGTCACCCACTGTGGATAGCTCGCTCACGCCACCACCTCAGCATCGCCATGACAACCGCCAGCCCAGCTCTCCTCCCTTACCCGCACCCCGAGACCTGTCCTCATATCAGTTCCAGCTGGGTGCTGCATTTGGAGCTGTGATCATTCAGCCTTTGGGTGGTGAAAAGAGAGAGATGTGTTTCTCAACAGTCACTCTCACATACTTTTCACCTCTTCTGAAGCAGAGTTAATGCAGTGCCTTGATGTGCTGCTAAATCCACCTTATTCATCTATAAGTCATAATTAAGCTAGCACACATGCAGTGGATAATTAGTGTGCACTACAGTTGGTTGCTAAAACCTCTTTGATTAAGTGCATATGTGCTTTTTAAAAATATCTGGCCTCTACTGTAATTCATTGGTTCCCAACCTGGGGTGATGGGCCAAAGATCTCGGGGGGCACGAGGCTCTTTCTGCTCTGAGGTTGTCCATATTAGAATTGAACATATTGACTTAAATAATTATTAAACAATTAGTGGATAGTTTATACAAAAGTATTTTGGTAAGAACAAGTGTGTTCTGTTGGGATTTTATCAATGAAAAATATTAAAAACTGATGTTCATTTTTCTAAGCCACCTTTTTTTCACTCCAATTTGGTCCTTGGGGCTCCCAGCTTTTCTGAGATACAAGTAGGGTGTGCTCCAAGGAAAGAAGGTTGGGAGGCTGGGGCTGTGCGTGTTCTTACTCATTACATATAAAGTCAGAGAGTAAAGCCTGAATATGTGGCAACAGTTTGCTTTGGGAAGATATTTGCCTGGTATTTGTTTTATGAAAAATAATTCCCTCTGCTATTGCACACATGTTGACAATTTGCCCTTCTATTGTTAGCACTTCTATTACGGATTGGTTTCTATGGAGTCAGCGCTAGATCCAAGCGTTTCATATGTTGGTTTGTAACTACAGAGCATTGAAGGCTGTTCTTGTTTTAAGTCTTGATAACTCGCTCATCGGCTATTTAGATCCCTCTGCAGTCGGTCATACCAGGATGAAGCATCATTTTCTTTCCCTTTTGTCAGTCTACTTTAAATTGCAATATTAAACAGAACAGTTTTGTTTTATTGCTAGAGAGCAGATGTGACATTTTCACAGCCCAAGGGGTTTGTGCAGTGAACAACTTAAGGGCCTTGGTGATAAATCTGCAATAAATGCTAACTTCAATTTGATGCATAACCCCTTGTTTTAAAAATATATTTAGTGTGAGAAACATTTGTAGGTGTTTTACTTGTTTCACTTGAATGCTGTTTTGTGATTGTCTCTTCAGTTTCTCTCTATACTCTTGAAGAGAAAGAAAATGTAGAGCAGAAGCTGATGTTGCTGTCTAGATTTAAGATTCAAAGTTTGGTCGATCATAACCTACAAGTACAAATCACTGCCTCAGAGAATGCACAATGGATGTGGATGTAAATATGGATACATTTATGAGTTCTCTCTGACGGTCTCTTTTCATTTTCATCAGGTGATGGTGCTCTTAACTAGCTTAGAGTTTACATCTCCCTCTGTTGGATGAGGCTTTTATTGTCTATTATGACTTACTGCTTGATGTTCTCTCATAAGTAGGAGGCCATCAGAGCACCAGCAGGATTTCATAGTAATACCCTCATAAAGCGCCACTGCAAAGCAGAACTAATTCATATCTGGTACCTTTCCTCAATTTATCTTGGAGGGAATTTTTATTCTTCAACTTGTTTAGCTCAGAACTAGTGCAAGACAGCACGCAACTGAGGGAACATGGATAAGATGAGCTAAATGTGGTGCCATAGTGCGGCTGGTGCTTCCACATGCATACTGTAATGTGTTGGCTGAAGTGCATGCATGACAATGTGCGAACACACATTGCACGACAAGTGTCAGGCAGGCGATGCTACTGAAGGAGAGGGCAGGAGAAAGTGAGGAACAAAAGGTGGATCTCACTCAACTTCTAAAGTTGTGCATTAATAAACAGGATTTGCTTGAATGGCTCTGGCACTTCTGTTCAGTTGGCAGGTCTGTCAGCTCACTCATTTTCAATAAAACCAGTCAGCCGCCTAATGCCTTCCCACCGTCAGTTAGCCGCCATTAGCCCATAGATGAATATCATTCCCTCTGTTCCAGGGAAGCAGCCAAGTGATGCAGCCTCTGTGAGTGCTGACATAATGATGAATAGCTACGGGCAACCCTCACACAGAAAGGAACTGTTTTCCTTCAGGACATTTCACAGCCAGGAGAGACGGACCATTTTATACACCAGCAGATCTAAATGTGACACAGAGTTTTCCCTGTGGAGCTGCATTATTATAGATGGTATATCATGTAAGGGTGTTTGTGTCTGTTTGGATTGTCATCAATTTGGTACAACACTGTTTGAAATATCATGGTAATTCAATCTAATGCGCCGCTTCTTTATTTATGTTTGTTCTATGTTTTTTTTTTATGAAAATGAAAGGCACCAATGAGTGTAGACATTGAGCTGTAACATCTCATTTGAAAACAGTGTCTTCTCCATGCTTGTTCCAGACTGAGCATGAACGTGTGTTGGATTGGCAGCGCTTCACCCAGGCACAGCTGAAGGTAGTGACCCAGCAATGGCAGCGGGACCATGAAGAGCTGCTGGCCAGAGCCCTGTTCACCCTGCAGGAGGCGAGACATGCCCACCAGGAGGAGCTGGAGCTCCACAGAGACCGGCAGAGCCAGCAGGACATCTGCTTGCATCTTAGAAAGAAGGTTAGTGTCAGGTGTGCCATCACAGCCAAGAGCTGTCACCTTCCAGGAACATGTCCATCTTTTAGAGAAGGCACTTTTTTATGTTATCGATTATTCTGCAGTTGTCTGCCTCCAATCTATGTTTTAATCGCTGCAGGTAGTGGATCTATAACTTTAATATAATACTTCATAGTTCTGCAGCTTTCCAAATACGAGCCCTCTGTGGTCTTGTTTCTACCATTCTGATATAAAAGGTATTCTCACTTCTACTGGTGGAGTGGAAGAAATTGGGCAGGTTTCACTGATAATGTTTAGCAGGACAACCTTTTCCAACAATCATATTTGAGGAGCCAGACAGGCAGAAGCAGTGTCTGGCTGCCTTCTTGTTACAGTATATTTGCTGACGAGGCTGCCTTTCCGCCAGGCTGCCTGACAGCATCTCTCGCTTTAGCTGCCACTTGGGAGGGGCTGTGAATGCAAACAAGCTAATAATGATGGTCTTGCAAACATGATGATGCTGTCTCGGAGGGGTGCTAGTTCACATTCACACAACAAACAGGTTACTCATGTGAACACATCCATGTCTTGTTGATGCAGTGCTGTATAAATTGAATTAGCTTTGCCTACTAGTTTTTATTTTATTTAACAAATGAGGCTTGTGTCCTATGACTGATAAGATAACAAGACACTTTAATATATAAGTAGTGATGGTGTGGGTTTGTCACGGGACAGAACATATCATGAGACATATAATATTCTGAAGGACCGTGTTATACTTTAGCTTTTGATAATTTATAAATCAAGCAGGTATGTTAGGACTATGGGAGCACAACAGAATTTGATTACCACTCTCTTAGGTGTTGAGTTTTCACATCTGTGTCACACTTAAATCGTCAAATGTCACAATAAACATTTTTCTGCAAAGATGGGTGACACAGATGAAATTAATTGTCTTTAAGAAGGTGTCTAAATCACCAAATCTGGCCTGTGAGACAATTTCATAGCCCGATTACATTTTTCCGCCTCATCCTTTATTGCTGTGTTCTAATTTAATTTTCTAGCTAAGCTACAAAAATTGTGGCTTACAATAAAAACTGGTTCTTTATTTCACAAGCCGCGGCTAACTGTGTAAGTTGTAAACACTTAAGGTGCACCGCCATACAGTGCTGTGATTTACCGCCATATGCCTGGTGCTAGACACCGAAATCTATCTCTCTCTAAACCTAAAACAAAGTCAGGGCTTGAGGACAGTTTCAAAGGAGGTTTTTTTTTTTTAATGATATTATAAGTAGCGATCATATTACTGTGTTTAATACAATTGCTACTTATTTCATCTTAAAGAGGGTTGAATCTTGATAACTCGAGTTGCATAACTAAACTGACAAAGCAGAGGAAACAGCAGGTTGCTTGGATTTAAAGTGTATACAGTTTTCTTGAGTTTACAAATGGTCTAACCAGGAGAGAGCATCTCTCCCAATGACCCTTGCATATAATACTAAATGTTTTATTCCCAGCTGTCATAACCTTAACTATGCAAAAATGGAAAATTGACTACTTACCATGGTAAAGATCTACTTTTGTCTGCATGTTTGCTTATAAACCTGTAAATAATAAGCTCTTAAGCAGTCCAACAATTTGCAGCTTGCAGATTTGTTCACTTTTACTAACATAATTCATCGTGTTGGAAAGGACCTCCATTGTAGTCTTTCTCTCTAACTTGCTTTTAGTAGCCAATCACTGCATTAACTTGGACTCTTTTCACTGTGCTCTTTCTTTAGTTCTTGGGTAAGTGAAGAAGCAAATTCAAGGGCAACATTCACTCCACTCTGAGCGAGCTGCAATAACTGTGGCATAATATGGTTGTAGAAGGAAGAAAGTTTTTAAAATGATGGAATGTGTTATTCAAGACAGCAGTATGTTTCTGCAATCTCCTTTTTATTGTGTTTTTTAAAAACAACAGGGGCCTTTGATTTTTCAATATCATAGAGCCTGCAGTTGGACATAAACTACACGCCTCTGACGACTGCAAACACATTTCTTTGAGTTTCGTTTTCATGGCTCTCTGAGGCAATACACAAAATAAAATCACATGCACAGTTTTTGTTTATTCAGTGAATGTGCACATATTGGAGTTTGTGTGGAGGCTCAGACAGACTCCTGTGTGTGCATCCACTGCCTTTATCATCCCTGCACAGAGACACAGCGGCGAGGCAAGATGGATCCCCCCCTAACTGCACCCCCCCCCCCACCCACCCACCCCTGAGCATCTGCCTGTTTACCTTTTTTTTCTGCAGCTGCTTCCTCTGACCAAAACAACTGTCCTGACTTTACTGTGCTCCATTCAGCCCTTGTGAGATCACATGAATTCCTATGCTCCAGTTTTTCTCCAAATTGTTCCTTTGTATATAATTCAATATGGCTTACAGACAGATGCAATGTATGAAAACATATGATAATTAATTGAGGACTCTTGGTCAACATTTATAATCATTTACATTACCTCTACCGGTTGTTATGCTTTCCACATCATGTGGGTACTTGTTTAACGGGTGGAACTTCTGCAGTTGCTTTAAGGGTTATGTGGCAGGCTCAACTTAGTAACACATACCAACTTATTCAACAAAAAAAATGTAAAGCATGATTTGACAAACAGATAACAACACATCTGTTAAGTAAAAAAATAAACAGCCAAAGAGTGATACAAATTGGTGTGATCTTTGTGTGAACCTCTACACCTGAGACAGTTGTAACACATTAACATTACCTTTGGGTTGTGGGTTTGTGAAAACAAGGGAGAAGGCAAATAGGTTCAAGGTTTTCCTTAAGTAAAGAGTAATCAGAACGGCTAATAGTATGTAAGAAAAAAGTCTATAATTAAATAAAAGGAAAAGACAAACACTAGATATGTTCAGTTAGAAGCAAGAGACAAATGTTTACATGGTTAGCTGAAGTTAGAATAGTTAACCTGTTACGGATCACACGGTTATGTAACAATTAAAATTGGAAGCAGAGTATTGGATGAATAGTAAAAAACAGTTAGCTTAGAGTAATTGATTGATTTATTTAATCAGTTGAACTCTGGTTGATTTATTGATTGATAGAATGACTAAAGACTTGAAATAGTTAGCCAAAGGAAAAGGATTAGCAGTTGAGTAGAAAGCTGAAAGTCATGGGTTTAAAGTTTAGTTAGCTCAGAGTGAAGGCTAAACTGTGAAAAGGTTATCTCAAAGTGAGGGCTTAACAGTTGAAATGGTAAGAAAATAGACAACTGATGGAAAAACAATTGAAATAGTTAGCTTAAAGTAACAGCTAACAAGTTGTAATAGTTAGCTAAAAATAATGGATGAATAAATAAATAAATAAATAGACCTAGTGGAAATAGCTATGTTTAAGTAATGGATGAAAACTCTCATCTATTTAAACGATATCCTGTTCTTCTTTTCTTTGAGTGGTGCCAGTGAAACTGTTTGTCATGATTTGGTTTTGTATTTGAGTTTCCCTGTTTTATCCCAGTGTTGCTTGTTTCCCTTGTGTATTTCCTAGTTTTGTCTTCAGTGTTTTCTGTTTTACTTTGTCATTTATTATCATCGTGTATCTCTGTGTTCTAGTGTGCTTTGTTAGATTCTTGAGTTCTGGGTGTCTAGTGTTTCATGATTTAGTTTGTAGTTGTCCTCAGTGTTTCTTGTATTCCTGCCTCTGTGTGTTTCCCAGTGTGATTGCCCTTTTTGTCCTCACCTGTGTCTTGTTAGTCTCACCTGTGTTTGATTACCCTGTGTCTATTTAGTCTCAGTGTTTCTTCCCTCCTGTGTCAGTTCATTGTTGTAAGTTGCCAGTGTTGTTTGTTGTATGTTGGAGTGTCAGTGTTTCCTAGTGTTTGTCAGTGCTTGTCAATTTTTGGATTTTCTCAGTTTGGACATTTTGATAGAAAGTTTTAGTTTTTGCCTTTTTGTTTAAATAAATAGTTTTATTAGTTTATTCTGCACTTGGGTCCACCTCCTTGTTTTCCCACACCCCTGATACTGTTACTGGAACTCATATATAAAAGATCTGGAAAAGCAAGGTTCAGTAATGCTTTACCACTATGATGACTTTATAATGCCACGTAATAAAGTGTCTGCACATAATGTGTTAAATGACAAGTTGTCTATTGAAATTAAGATCAGCCTGAAGATCTCACATATTGCAGAGCTTCGACCAATTGCTTCAGTCCATAACTAAATTTAAGATCCTCCACTTTTAGGTGATTTACCACCGCTGTTTTGGAACTTGTTTGCTCATCGTACCTGACTTTACTGTTTAATATTTGAGACGTGATTTTGCAAATATCCACCTTCCGCATCAATCTTCTCTTGGCATCCCGTGGTTCATATGAGGTCAGTGCTGATCTGGTTCTGACCTCATTATAAAGGAGGAGCAAAACTGTCTTCTGTGCAGGGTGTAGTGGTAAGAAATCCAGGGTAATTGATTCCAGAGTCAGCTGTTACCCTCCTGTTTTGGAAAGGGCAAAGCTGTCACACAGACCCAGCTTCTTCTTGAGAAGGCCATGCAAAGCTGACTGGCTGGATTCATGTGTCTGGACACAGATGACATTACTGATTAAATAGGAGTTGTTAACTTTAAGGAGCTCCAGATGTAATATACAGCAGCAGATATAAAAAACCGTTAAATGAAATGGATTATTAAGACAACTACATACCATTTCATGCATGAGATGAGGCTTATTTCATTCCAATTTATCTCTGAAAGACAGACTCTTCTTTTGAAATCATCAGTTGTTTGTTCTGCTGCGCTCTGGCTGCTCTAATTAGCTGGCATTGTTCTTTGCTGCTCTTGTTCATTCCAGCCTTTTATTCTGTCCTTGCTTTCGTTTTGCCTCCCACTTATATCTCCCTCCCGGGCATCTTTGATGAGCGATTGTGTTTCCCACATGAGTAAATAAAGCCTGAAGGGTAGACAGATTGTTTCAACATGTTCAGGTGGCAAAGGGTTTGAGCAGGCCAGCAGGACAAGTGACACAACAATCGAAAGAAGAAAGATATTCATAAGACAGAAGGTTTTCTAATATTGAAACAACTAATCCTCAATTTCCTGATCTCCAGAGATTTTGCAATACAAACAGCTCTTTCACAGATTTCCTTGTGCCAAAGAAGGTGCCCTTCCCTGCAGTAACCAATATTCTCTTGATACTGTGTCAGCTGAGCGACTAAAACATGCAGCTCTTCATCCCCCCTGGTTGATTAATGAAATCAGTTCTATTGTTTGGACAGTGAGTGGGCCACATGGTGTTTAAGCAGACAAATCTCTGAGGAGTTAATTGCTCATATTTGTATGATATTTAACTTAGTGTACCCATTTTAAACTCGGAAATTCTTATAGTGCTGGCTGCTAAAATAAAGCACTTGCTCAGTAGCCATTGACTACATGTATGTATATATATATAGGGACCATGCATGTCCAGCTCCTCATGTTGTACAAAAGTGAAGCCCAAAATCTTGCACTGACATTATTTGGAATTAGCACATGTGCAAAAGGAATTTGGTTGATGGATTCTGCTTATCTGGTAAAGAACGCTGCAGAAGCCTCATTTGACCACAGAGCTGTCAATCAGGACTCTACATTCTCTTTTTATAGCATTCAATAACTACTGGTAATAAAAAATACAATTCTAGAAAAAAATTACATTTACTCACGCATCAGCATGATAAGAACTAACGATGATGACAGAAATTATTTGAAGTGTATTCATTTTAGAGTTTGCCTCATGTCCCATTTGTTAACATGGAGGAGGTGGGGCTTATGATCTATACCAGTGAGCATCAACTGGCGGCCCGCGAGCCACATCCCCCCCCCCCAAAGCCTCCCATCCGGCCCCAAGAATATAAAGGATCCCAGGTGATTAAACAATAAACGTTAAAATAATGTGCAAAGCTGAAATACTCGCATTAGGTTAATAGGAGACTTGACAGTTCCCCTCTGAAACCAACTTCTTCACATTGGGCTTGAAAGCTGTCAAGGTTATGTGAAAGCATATTTTGAAGTCGGCCCCCGACAGAGTCTTTGTCAGGAAAAATCAGGCCCTTGTACAAATGTAGTTGATGATCGATGATCTATACTGTCGCCAGTCAGCAGGGGAGCTCCAAATGTGTTGTCTTCACTTTCTGAGAGCAAAAGTGTCATCCATCTTCCCATACAGTGAATGAGAGTTACCATTCTCACATCAATGGACAAAAGTTAATTCACCCTTTAAGATGAAGTAAATCTCATGTGTCATGTACATGTATGTCACTGAGTATTACATAAGGATGCTTGGTGCTATTCTTTCCTCAAGTTTGTCGCTTTAAGTTAGAGTTAATCTGTCAACTGTTTTATATCTCAGCTTTCCCATAGAATAATCTTTATTGGAACGTTGTGATGGCTGCTGACACACCCCATGACAGAAGACATCATGGTAAATGTACAGTTGTATTAACAAAGGCTTTCAGCTGGCTGTAGTGTGCAGACAAAAAGGCCATCATCCTTTTGTTATTCTGACATCTCTGCAGTCATTTCCGTGCTGCCTTGAAAAGGATGGCACCCCATTTCTCTTTGAATTCACAGAAAAAGAGATTCCATTGACAAATTACTGTAGACTGTATATAATGAGCGTTTTATTCTCTTTGTGCTTCCTGAAACGCCTTTTCATCTCTGCCTAAAAGAGAAAAACACATTGAGCCTCTGTTGCTCTTACAGTGTTCACAGTGGATCAAAGCTGAGCTAAGATACATCTCAGATTGCTCTGTGACCTATGGTGAACACTGCAATCAAACTTAAGAATCTTTGCTTTATGAAAATAAAAAGCAGTGTTATCTGTCACATGTTAGTTTGTGCGTCTCAGTAAAATATGCTTTACAGACCCACCCACAAGGTTGTTTACACATCTCATGTGTCCAGAGCATCAAGCTTGCAGGTATCTTATCTGGGCCAGGCCCGACCTTGATGGATGGTGCAATTATGTGAGCTTGTTTTCTTTAAATTTTCAAAAACAAAGCCTATTTAATTTTATTTACAGAGACAGATATGGGCCGGAGAGGTAGAACATGACAGACAACAAAGACTTGGAACGGATTTAAAACCTGAGAATTGACAGTACATGGCTGGGCTCTAGGTTAGAACAAGTGCACCAGTACACCCTGAAATATAGCTCAGCTGATATGTATTGAAAGCATTACTATGCACAGAACAGAACAAATATCTCAAATATTTTAAAGATGATGTACTTTTTACACAATGTCCAAATGTATGTTGCAAGAAAATCTTCCCTTAATGCCCTGAAAAGCTTTGAAGTAGATATTTTTATAATCTATGTTGAAGTGTGAATTTCCTTTCGGTGCTTGGTATAGGTCTGACTATGCTCTTGGCCCGCAATAGAGGTCAATGGAATCATTAACTGTGACATTTCACAATATCAGGGCTATGTGACATGAGGCAATATTGGAACTAAATGTCTATACCAAAGGGTGAGCACACTCAAAAACAAGACAAATAGACAGTCCACTTAAACAATGTTGTGTAAAGCCTGCAGCAGCATAAACATTTACATCATGTTCTGATCATCATTACGCAGTCAGTACATGCTGTCACTATTTTTCTTTTCTGGTTACTAAATTCCATTTTGAATGAACAGTTTCAATGAATAGAGCTTCCCATGTGATCCCTGTTGCATGTCTGGCTTCAACACTGCCAATTGACCTGCATTAGAGGCTCCATTGTTTAAAAGCCTCTGTTAATGCACAGCAGCTGCTCATTCTCAGGCAGACATGAAATATGATTGACTTGTTGATACCGCTGGTGTTAATGTGTGTGAGACTATGTTAATTTGCGGTTCATTCCATCAGGGATCCCTAAAGGGTTCTTGGATAGATCTGTGAATCTGTCCGCCCGGTCAGAATGCAACACTTTAATACCCGGCATGCTGCAGGGAAGCTGCTGCATAACAAGCCTGTCACTCAAACACCAAGCAAGTGTGTGTGTGTGTTTCTGTGAGTGTGTGTGTGCAATTTTAAAATGGAAATATTTGTCAATTTTATTCAACATTATTTTAGAGAGTGTAGAGGCATTTAAACACTTAGTTGTTTTTTTCTCACAGGAGCACTTCAAATTCATTAACATATTAATGGATAAGGAAAAAGCAATTCAAAGACTTCAGTTGTTTTTTCTTGCTCACAAAAAGCTTAAGTTAAAGCTAAAGCTAATTCTCAGATCCTTTAATCTTAAAAGTAAGATGGAAATTTAGGGAAAATGTGTCCGATTTTTCAGACATTTCTGTCTAATTCCTGACCTGAATTTCTTTATAAGGTTACACTTCTCTCACTAGAGCAAGTTGTATTTGTAGTAGGGCTTTTAACAGAATGGGTTTCCTCATGATTCAGTGCTCTGAGGGGTCCTGAGGTGATCTTACACAGAGTGTGAAAGACACTTTAGACACGTCTTCTGAAGTTCTTACCACACTTTGGCACCCTTTGCACTGGGGCTCAGCTGGCTGTGGCTCTTTCTAAGAGCGCTGTTGATGGACAATAACCTGCTCTTTGTTTCTCCCTTGTTGTGCATTTGCATGTGTGTTTGCAGCTGCAGCAGTGGCGGGCCCAGCAGGAAGAGGTGTCGAAGCTGGAGGCGGCCATAGATGCTAGACAAAAAGAGGAGGAAGAGGCGAGGTTAAAGAGAGAGCAGGAGAGGGAGACTGCCATCAGATCACAGCAGAAAGAAAAAGTAAACATCCTCATCACACTCATCACAATGAAAGTGTCACTCATGTATCTGAATGTGTGCAAGCTCTTTAAGTACTTTGTATAATTTAATTCCAAGACTAACAAGCAAACTTTTCTATAAACATGTCACGAGCAAACCAACTTAAATTAGATATTATTTTTACAATAGACCTTCATATATATGTATATTACAGCTAATATTCAGTCCAGAAGACAACATCCAAATGACGTTTGCATAAGTTATTATCTTAAGAAGTTTTACACCGTTTTTGAGACATGCTACACACACATAGGCTGAAATACTCAAACAGGATCCTATGAACATGCTCTAATGGAGAGATATCAGAGTGAGGGGGCTGCCCACAGCAAGCGCTTCTGAGCTGGTGGGGGTTCGGTGCCTTGCTCAAGGCAGTGCTCAGAAAAGTGAACTGGCACCTCTTCAGCCACCAGACCCATTTTCAGATTTGGTCCAGAACGGGACTTGAACCGGGCAGTGACCATCCGGTTCCCACACCCAAGTCCCTACAGACTGAGCTACTGCGGACCCCAGATTTAAAGTTGATTCTTTTGGAAAAAAAAGAAAGATAAGCGATTATACATTCATCTCCGTATTCATCAAGCGGTTAGAACCGCTTTAGCTGCAAAGGGCCGGCTCAAACAATTAAAATTAACTTGGCCAATCAAAAACATTTAAACACCCTTAGCAGGAATGGTCTGATGGACAAAAAGAAAGGATAGGTTACATTTTGACGGATGTTTTCAATGTGCCAGAGAATTGTCTCATAAAGAAGGAAATGAGAGTCATATTGACTCAGCTAGATCCCAGGCACTGATAGAACCAGGATTACACAGGAAATAGAATAGTCCTCTAAAGCACCACATTTTATTTGGCATATCCACTTATTCTAAAAACATTCACATCTTTACAAAGTGATATATGAATGAATTGACACAGATTATAATATAGCAAAATGCATATAATAGAAAACCAACAGGCAATGATTTTGGCTTATTTAATAGAAACACTGAAACACTATTTAGCTGCCCTAATCGATGTATACTTTTAAATAATTTAGTTTAGTTATTGTCCTCACAGGTACAACAACACCAGAATGTTTGTGTGTATGTGTGTGTTTGACCGTTTCATTAACTCTCTCCTCAGGGGTCTGCTAGGAGAGCACGGGCAACCTGAGACACTCTCTGATTAATGAGAGCATTTAGGCTGCAATGGATTCCATATAATTTAGCACAATAGTCTGACAGACATTGAAATATCGTCTCATTCTTTCTGTTTACACGTATCTGATTCCTGCTCTGTAGCCATCAATAAGACATGAGGATCTTAAGAGGTTTGCGGGAGTCCAATTAGAGGGAGTGTGACTCTTCCTGTGGCTGTTGTTAACTTTTTCGTGTCATTCTTTGTAAATCAATGTTTCTCCCCCACAGGTCAGACTGTTTTATTTAAAGCAGCAAAGGAGGCGGGAGCTGCTGGAGCAGAGGGACCAGGAGAGACTCGCTAATCTGAGGAGAATCATGGTAGAACAGGCACGGCGCGATAGAGAGAGGTGAGGAGACCTTGAGTTTTCAGAAGATGGTAAAAGAGTTGCCAAAAGTGAATCATGAACACTTGCAGTGAAGTGCATTAGTGTCTATTACTAGGAATGATATGATGGGTACTAACCTGTATACTTACAATCGCAAATATATTACTTGTACATTTTTGTTTTTATTGATACAGAAAATGAGCTTTCTGCACTCTTTACTGTGATGTAACAAATCGAATATGTTACAGATGCACTGGTGTAAACCAATTGTACATCTCCAAATCGGTTTAGATGTTATATGGAGTACAACTCGACCTGTGAAAGTAGTTCTATAATATCATCTTTGGATTTGAGAGAGGTGGCAGTCTGAAAAATAAACACTGGTGATATCATGAGGGTTATCTTGGGCTTGAAAATCTGAAAGACATGGACATTTACCAGACAGGGAGGATCTTTAGAATATCTATTTGTTGCATTTGGAAAAGTATCAAATTTAGTGATTTTAGAGGTTGACCCACAATATGGACTAAAAATCAAGATATTGTTTTTCTTTCATTGTGAAGTGCCCCACCTTTGAAGTGAAATAGACTAAAAGAGTGTGAAAAAAATCCACTTTCATCAAAGACACAGATGATGGTATAAATCGCTGCTTGTGAGGCTTGATTTCACCTTGAAGTTCTGTCATGAGGAGCAATTTGCAACTTTACATCTTAATTTTGTGCAGCAAAACAATGATCAGACTCTGGGAGCTGAAAATTGAAATATTGATGAAGTTCACCAGATTTTGAGACATCCATATTATGGTTTTTTTTAATGATCCATGAGACCATAGAATTTTTACATTTATTAGAAATGTGTCACAATCATGGGCATGGACACTTGGGTTTGAAAATCCTTTATTACTCTGTCAAGCAAGGTGATTGAGTGGAGTCTGGAATAAGATGGTGTTAGATGCCTTATAGTGATTTAGGAGGGAATTAAGAGGGGAAGTGGATGTAAAGGAGTTTAATGACTCCACACTCCCTTAAATTCATGCACTTTTAGCATATTAACAGCAGCTGAAAGTCTTCTTCTTTGCTGACCTCCATTGGTTTAATTCCACACTATATTGCAGTGATGCCGAAGTACTCAAATAAATGTGTACATACATAACAGCTGGGTATTGTTAAACATTCCATAAAACTTCATCTTTGAAATGTTTGCCTGGAGAGAGCGTTGAATCTCTTCTAAATTACTCCTGAGAAAAAAAAAAATGGATTGTGCATTTTTTTTTTTTTTTGGGCTCTTTGTACCTTTAATGATAGGACAGTGGATAGAGCTGGAAATCAGGAAGAGAGAGAGTGGGGAATGACATGTGGGAAAGGAGCCACAGGCTGGATTCGAACCTGGGCCACCCGCTTGGAAGACCATAGCCTCCATACATGGGGCGTGTGCACTAACCACTGCACAACCAGCGCCCTGGATTGTACATTTTAAACACATCGTTTACTTTGGATTTGTTTAGCATTGCTCTGCAGACACTCACAGGGACAGGCATTAATACCAGCAGATAGTGGTGTTGACTCATGAAGGGGTGAGAAAGATATAAAAACAGGTGATGGTGAAGGCATTGCACTCCGACAGCTTCCATAAAACCCTCCAAAGCCTGGAGGCCAGCTGTGTCAGGAGCGATAGGTGATGCTGGTGCTGGCAGTGGCAGAGGAGGAGAGAGTGCAGTGTTTAGCACTGACGTCCACACCCCCTCTGTGTGTGTGTGTGTCTAGGGTGCAGTTTCGGGCGGACATGTTGCAGAGGCAAAAGGAGGAGAGAGAGGAGCGGGAGATGGAGCGGCAGAGAGAAGAAGAAGAGAGACAGCACCGTCTTGAAGTTCTCAGAAACCAGGTGGATCATTATCTGTTCTGAAGTTTTCTGTTGAGATAACCAATATCTTATTCGAGGCATCACTGCCACCTTATGGTAGAAAATAAGAAGTGTTTTTGTTATCATTGAATAAATGTTTCTCACCTATTTATCTTAGGTTGGGGTGGTGGCAGAGGCAGACCCAGAGAGGATGATGGCGGATACTGAGGCTTGGAGGAGTCACCACTTGAATATAAAGGAGTTTGAGCTCCAAAAACCTCTCTACAGTATCAACACGTACACAGACACACAGGTGAGGCATGATAACATCCACCCTCCTTTAACCTTTAGCTTTGTATGATTACAAAAGCTCTACAGCTGAGTGGTTATTTACCCCGCACTCCTTATCTGTGCTCTACAAAAAAATGAGCCTGAATGCCCTCTTTCCCTATGTTTGTTGACGATATACAGCCATTACCGGAATGTTTAGTTTGAGACTGACCAGTGACCCGCGCAGTGAAGGAAAATTATGCAATCTTGTCAACCAGAAGGAAAAAAAACAATGTCTGTCCTCATCCAGAGAACATTGTGAACAGCCTCGATCTCAAGGCCAACCAGTCAATCAGTGCAATTCAGAGTCTATGTGTGTGTGTGTGTGTGTGTGTGCTTTTATCATTACTGCAGAGCAAGGTCAGAGTTTAGTAATGTGTAACACAGACAATGACTAGTGTCAAAATGTGCTTATCTTTTTTACAATACCAAAGTGTGAGTGATTATTTTTCAAGTACTTAATGTGGAGCAAACTGTGAAAACAAACAATATAAACATCGTGGGCGTGATCTTGTATGAAACAGCTGGAGATTAAATGCTCACTGGATTTTTTTTTTACCTTTGTGTTACAGATTATGTCTGATCCACGAGTACGAGTTGAGCAGGCTCTGCGGGAGGCCGGTCTGCACAACACCCAGTATGCCAAAGAGCTTCTGTCTGTTATCAAGCCCCCTAAACCGCCTAGACCAGATACAAAATCCATAATTAAATTCTGATTGGGGGCATGTGTGGGCTCACATTTATTAATCCCTTACTTTTGTTCTTTTGGAGTTGAATTAGATGTATGTAATGCCTCATATTTGAAGATGCAAAGAATCAAGCTGTTTGGTACGCTCTCTGACACAGTTCCCAGGTAAACAGAACCAACAGTACTGACCACAAATTACACAGTGCAGTTATCAATATTGACTTTTATTGTAGGTTTTAAACTCTACAGCATCTCATGCAGAAAACAGAAAAACAGAGTATTTCTGAGTGATAGGACTGTCTGCACATTTATTGACTAACTATGTTACGTTCAGGAAGTTTCCTTTTGCAGCAAACAAGCTTAAACACATAATGCATAGTATGTCTTTGGTCACTTATAAACACAAGACTAGAACACATGGTAGGAAGACACACATCATCTCCTTTACCAAAGATAAAGCACCTGACTCTAATGACAGCATTAGGTTGGTCTATGTTCCAATCGATGATATGTGAAGCACGTTTCTCAACTTTTTTCATAGTGTTTTATGTTTAATGTTGAAATCAAGATACAGAACACATTCTTTAGAAAATTAACATTAACGTACAAAGCAGTAACACAGCATTAAATATGAAGACACAATACATACTTACATATAAGCAACAAACTAAATATCTTAGCTTGATAAATGAAATCATATTAACTTTTTAAATAAGAGTCTAATGCCTATATCAACATGTTTAGTACAGTATATACACATATCCACATATACAGTAAGTCACAATTATGTACACTCTCATTGGGGAAGCTTAGGTTAAGGTGTGAGATGTAGGGTATCTCAGACTACAAGTCCCAGGCGTTTCTTGATAAAGTGGGACACCAGAGCTTGAGGTCTCTGCTGGTACTCCACCAGGACATCATGTGGGGAGGTGATCTGGTCTCCATCGAATCGATTCAGCAGTGCAACACAGACTACAGCCGCTGAAGTTGGGGAAAAAAAGATTTAAATCAATAAAAGCGAGGTACACATCTCTCTCTACTCTGCATTTTGTACAGATTATGTCTTTATCAAAAAATATTAATGTATGCTAATCCTGCTTGCTGTTTGGTAACTTCAAATGGAACTCCCTCCCACCACAAATCCGTAATATCGACACTCTCTCCATTTTCAAATCTCATCTGAAAACACATCTTTTTAAACTGGCATATTCAGTCTGATCATTCTGCACCCGGTCTCATAACTCCTTTACATCCTGTACATTTGTGTTTTTTTGTGTTATAATGTTAACTTTATCGTTGTGTTACTTTGTTGTTTTTATCTCTGCTCTGTAAGGTGACCTTGAGAGTTTTGAAAGGCGCCTTTAAATAAAATGTATTATTATTATTATTATTATTATTATTATTATTATTATTATTATTAATAATAATAATAATAATAAATCACTCAGTAAGCTTTGTAAAAGTACAGAAAATTCAACATTTTGTAAAAAGCAGAAAAACAATAACCTTTGAGGCCACAGACTCGGCACATAGCAGCAAACACCGTGGACTCCATTTCTATATTCCTCACTCCAGCATCATATGCTTTCCGCAGATACTCCAGTTTTTCTTCATGAGAAAAGGAGCAGAGAGCTCCATCAAGTCGGCCTTGCCCTATAGAGACACAACACAGGATTTGTAAGTTTCTGATAAATCATTTTGACCTGTCACAGAAATGTAATCACAAAACAACCCTGAGCATGAGATGCTTTTTCTACCTTCATAGAAGTCGTGTGTGCACATGGTGTTTCCGATCACTGTCGGGATGTTTTGAAGCTCAGATGAGCACTGCAGGAGCTCATGGGCCACTCCCTCGTCCAGCTCAGTACTCCGGGTGATGACTTTACCCAGAACCACCTGCTCAAACTGTGGTCGAAAGGAGTAGTCCACTGCTTTTTCTGTGACCACCACTGTCCCTGGAGCAAGACCTAGAGAAGACACCGGACACAACTTTAAAATATGGCCTTATCATGACATCTAGAGTAAAGGACGATGTAAGGGAATGAACCATTTACAAAAAATCATGCGAAGCTCTTACCAACACCACCAGAAGTTCCAAGGCGAAACAGGACCACATCATGGCACTGAGCATGGTGCAGCAGTTTGATGAGCTCATGCAGCATGATGGAGATGGAAGGGACACCCATACCATGCTGTGATGGAAACAAGTGGGGTTAAAATCAGTAAACCAGTAATGCTTTATCTGAAGTTCTTCCCCATAGTAGTGTATTTATGTTCTGTAGATCCTGGTTCTGTAATACTCACACTTATAGAGAGCACTGGTCCCACTTTATACATGCAGTAGCGGTCAGTTCCCTCACAGATGTCACTAATCTCCTCTGGGTTTCCAGACAGTTTCAGCTCCTGATGGATGAACTGGGCAAAGGCCTTCATCCGATTCGCACTGCCACCAACACACACAAACTACGGGGAAACAGACAAAAGGAACATTGAATGTGGATTTCAAGACTTTGAAAATATAACCCAGGTTTTCTTTTCTTTTACTTCACACACCTTGATATCTCCAAACATTTCTGGAAGGTTGTGAGTTTTGGTGCCTAGGTTGAAGTGGTAGAGAATATCCTCCTCCATTGTATCCAAGTAGGGATTTTTCACCTGGACAAGTTGCCTGAGAGCAATACAAGATATAAAATGAACAAATGGAAAACTCAAGATAACTGTAAGTCAAGCTCTGGATCACCTGAACACAATTACATTGGATATTTTAAGAAAAAAATCAGTGCAAATATCCCAAAGACTTACTTGATATAGTCATTGTGGTCATTTCCCATACAGTTGAGTAAAATCGGTGCCATGACTGCAGATGAAGCTTTGCAAAAAATCTAATTTCAAACGTTTTCTAAAGTTTTCTGCTGTGATGCGTCCAAATACCTGTGATAGCTGTTACCGAATAAGAATTGAGTCTGACTGCAGAGCTGATATAGTGGTGACCTCTGGCCTGACCACTGATTGGTTCCATAGAGAGGAGTTGCACTTGTCCTCCTCTCAAAAACATCCCACTGCCTCAAAACAAACAGAGGAATTTAAGTTACACAATAACAATAAATGGTCAACTTTCAACGTGTCAATGTACCTTCGAAATGAAAACTGTTTCAGAGGCAATGAAAACAACATATGTGATGGACCCCCCCCCCCAACTAAATCTGCAAAACATTTGCCAGGATCTTAATAATGTCTAATCTGAAGCCAATGAGTAAAGGACGTGTTATGACATAAAGCAAGGCGCGGTTCGATAACCTCTGCCATTGGGACACAATACATTGGCATGTCAAAACAATGACAAACAGAGGCAGATTAATGTAGAACCAACATAAACTCAACATTGTTTTATTTATTATTTATTGAGCATTGTATCATTTGCTTAAAGAGCATTTACATAAATGTATTTATTTATAAAGTTATTTGCTTTAATGTTACAGTTTTAAGCAGAAAACGATTCAAATTCATCACAGTCTGAGGGAAACAAAAGCAGCTTTTAATACAAAAAAATATTAAAGATTGCATAATATTATAACATTTTTTTTCTATTGAAACAGTTAAAATTACATAACTTAAAGCTGTTTTTAAAGAGTTACATACACTGCAAAAAAAGTAACATAAGATGCCTTCGTTACTTGTAAATAAATAAAATGTTTCAGCTTTAATTCAATAAAGAACTTTCACACTTAAGTCAAACCGCTGACATAATAGAACAATAAGAACTCGATGTGGCTCAGCATGGAGTACAAAAAAAACTCTGTGTTGTTAAGAGAATAGGTTGGAAGGAGGCTGCAACTGTTTGAGCATGAACATCCTTTTCCCACGCACTGGCAGTCATCTAATCTGTTGACACGGAAATGTATACAAGCATGAGTCATTATCACGTCACTGACTAATAAATTCTACATGATACTGCCAAGAGTTATCATAAATTGTCAATGGCTGCAATTTGAAAGCTTAACACCTCAAAATGTGTGCTCATCATTTTCTCTATCCACTTATTGAGTCACATAAAATCAATAAAACAGCTCGGCTCTACTTCCTTTTTACATTGTTGAGGTGAATTATGACTGTCTGGTGAACAAGCAAGACTGGAAAAAGAATAATGTTGACCTGTAAGAGTGTGATTTAGATAATGTTCAACTCACTTGAAAAATCAGTGGTGGCTTTTGCTGGTTTGTCTTCTAAATAACCAAAGCTCAGCAGCTTAGACATATTGACAGGAGATGGTTTCTTGTCGAAAACCCTTGAGAGGGGGGAGACAAAAGGCATAAAGACAAAATAGAAATACAATTTGCAAATGATGCTGTTGTCGTTACAAATATTATGTCATGATTATAGTCATGGCCACAAAGTGCGTCTTGCATCATCTAGGGACGCTATGGCGACTTTGCGACTTGCAACATTGTAGACGAACTCTGGCTACTCATTACAGAAGTACAACAAACTGCACAGAGTCAACAAATGTTTTTTACAACACCAGCCAGTCAGGACACTTGTCATCTCATTTTAAGTTCAATGCTTTCAAAAACAATTCCTCTAAAAGTCTATCTCAGAATTAGACATGTCATCTTGTTTGAAAAAAGCCAAACATTGTGTTTGATTAATGTTTGTGTGTTCTAAAATGTTCTTGTTTCAGGAAATACAAAGCTTCTGTACTTTATTTAATCATATTTAATATCTCGCACCAAGAGTCAGAATAAATGATTCAATCATCTGTAATTATTTCTTATATATTATAAGATATGATATTATCTGATATTATTTATCAGTGGCTCCATTGTGGACTTTGTTAACGTGCAACATCCCCTGTTATTTACAGCCAATCCTCTGCAGTGAGGTATGATCGTGAGGTCGTTTTGGGTTTTTGACAGGCCGTTGACATTTCAAAAAGATACAAGAGACACTCAGAACTGACCAGCAGTGAGCCAAAGCAAACAGGTGAAAGTCCAGATTTGTCTCGCCGCTGAGTCTGTCTGGTGCAAATATGTACATTGAAATAGGCTTTGCTTGTTTTTAATGTACCTATTGTTCAAACTGATCATTATGTGATCCACTCCTAATTTGTTCTTTGGGAAAGTGAAGGGGGAATTCCAAAGTTTTCCATGCAAACTTTGAATGAAAGGTTTGTGGGCCTTAAATAATCTGGGTTAAACAAATGACACAGAAATGATATTTTTAGTACAAAAGTCCTCTGTGTCTTCCTGTTGTACAACAGAGGGAGGAAAATAAGAAAAAGGGGATGTTTAACAAAAAATAAGCTTTAACTTTGAAGCTAATATCCACATTACATCACTTACTGGGGTGGCTAAAGCCTTATGTAAGCTTCAGATGTCAGCTTATCACATACACGGGGTCAAAAGACTGATTCTTGATTGGTTATATCAGGTTAAAGGTGTTCTATTGTATTACAACAGCTTTGTTCAAATATTCTCATATAACAAGATCACTAGTATATAATAAATCTAGTTTTTTGAAGTATGTTCCTTAGTTTTCCGGTGGCATTGTGAGACAAAATTTGCTTATACTGAATAAGGTGAACAACAGCACCATCTTGTGAACACATTAACTTACATCCTCTTGAATTTGCTGGTCTGATGGGGGACCAGCAAATTCTGATGGTGAGTGGATTCCTCCATCTGGCTGTCGAGAACATTGTTGTTCTGCAGGAGACACAGCAAAGTCACAGTGTGTGTTGGTTATTTTGTGAATTAGATATAGCCAAGATATCTTGTTTATCATCACTGGCTTTACTTTTACATTATTATATCATTTTAACCACAATCAAGAAATGACTTAATGAAAGTGTAACACTAAATTATTTCTAACTTTCCCTGCATTAGCACTGGAGACTTCAACAACACAAGCGATTACATGAAATGTTCATTTGGTGGTTCATTTGGCAAAATTACTAAATGACTGCAGCATTTCTGTGTTTACCTTCTCTTTGTTGCTGTTATCATCCCTCTCCCAGGCTGACATATTGTCAGTCCCAAAGGGGGGCTCTAACGGTTGAAAAGCTCCAGGGTTTTTCTTCTCTGCACCATTAATTAGGCTGTTGGAGAAAAACAATATAGGCATATGAAATTATGAAATGTATCCTTAACTTAATGATAGCTGAAATCTAAAATGAAGGATAAACAGTAAAAATTTGGCTGCATGGCTGCTAATTATTACTGTTTACATGATACCTTCTGTTCAAACAAACACCTTAAAGGCTTGTTACAAGGGTTATAACAGAAATACTGTAAGAATTGGTGTTATAACCCAATTTACAGTAGGTTATAAGGAGCAGGTAGAAGTACAATAATAACAGAGATTAGTGTTACATACAAAGGTGAAGGTATTATTTTTAAGCAAAAACAAGTCAGTCAGTGCCTGATGATAAATGTCCATAGGTACCTTTGGTTTCCACTGTCTCTGGATGGAGTGAACCAGTCTGGAGGTTTGTATGATTTGGTCGTAGAACTAATTGTGTTCTCATGCCACAAAAGTTCTGTTGAACAAATTAACAAAACATTTTTTTAAGTATATTAACCTGCCAGAGTGACATGTGTAGAAGAAGATAAGAGGAAGGCTCTACCTCTATGCCCTCCTTGTTTTGCAAGCTTGATGTAGTCAGAATCACTGTCAAAGACTCCTGCCCTCCTCCCTCGGACCCTTGTCTCAGGGAGACTGCTGGTGGATGGGGACAGTCCGGGGATCTGGGAGATGTGGCCCTCTGTGCCATGTTCACCTGTTTTTAAACATACAATACACAGAGACACACGTAGAAGAAAGAAAAGGGGAAAATTAAGATTAATATTCAAAACTACTATGACTAGCTTCACTATAACCCGGATGTTGTTGTAGATGTTACACTACAGTAAGTTATTTGTAAATGTACTTACCGGATTGTGTAGATTGCAGCTCGTTTCTCATGACAGCTGTGGATTTTCTAACAGAAATGGAAAGAAAACCCCGGAACACTGTCAACTTCCTCGACAATAATTTATGAGCAACTCATCTGCATCAACACCTTTCATTGACGATTAACGTTAGCGTAACTAAGTTAGCTAACATTAGCTAACTTGTTCGAGCTGCGAGAACCCAAAATGTTAAGGACGCCACTGTATTAACTCGACAAAAAAAGGTGAAAACATAATAAAAACTGAAAACAAATATTACAAATGTTACAAATATAAAAATATATAGGTGTTTACTTACTCTGAATTCATTTTGGAATTGGAGGAACAACCTGCTGTGTAAGTGAAACTACTATAACTCTGTTTGGAATTTGTGACGCGTTGCCGTGGAAACGTGTTTTCATTCCCGGTCCGGAGTGCAGCTGCTGATGTGTGGTGGTAGGAGGGTTACTGTGAGGGTTAGTTCATGAGTGTTTAGTTAGTTATCTAGTCAGCTGTTTATGTTATTATAGGTTATGGCATGAAATGCTGTTTTTTTATACCGAAGACGTTTAAAACCATAGAAAAGTGTTCATAGCCTAGAAATAAAAGTTAGGCTACATATGACCCAATAATCAGTACACTCAGTGGAGGAATCATGCAATCATGCAATGTATGTAATATATCCTACTTATGTTTAGTAATACAAGTGGATGAAAAAACAACAGCATGGTGTTTGGGGAGTTTTCAGTGATTAAACAAGGTTACTGAAAGTTTAAAACTAATTTAAAGATAAAAAGACACTTTCTACCAATTTTATAAGAAGCAAGATAAATGCCCATAATCATCAAGGCTTTTCTCCAGAAACCAGAGGGCAAAGATGTGATGTCAGTATTATAAACTCAAAATGTATCAACGTGCATTTGTTCATTTATCTCATCAAAAAGAGACTAAAGCAAACATGTCTGACTCCTAACCCTCTGAAATAGTTTTGAGAATGCCCTTACAAGTTTTAATGGAAGTTTAGACTATATGCTAAAACAACAACAACAAAAAAAACAATAAAACAAACAATAAAAAGGGATAGGGTTAGGGATCTTCTTAATATCATCGTTATCACAGTTTATCCAAAGAAGGATAACTTTCCTCTCAACAAAAAAATTGGTTAAAGAAGAAGAAAAATAAACGTTTTGCACCTTTTTTTAGGCTACAGAAAACAAAACCAAATGATCAACACAGGTTATTCTGCGTTAGGTCACCAGTTGAAGAATATGCCTAAATCTTTAACATTTAAATAATCCTGACCCAAAAGTAGGCTATAGAGCTATAGGCCTACTTGTAACCTAAATCTATAGCCTTTACGCAGACTGGGCTATTTTGTGAATCAAATGGACTGAATATTGATGCATATGCTATTGTAGACTATGCGTTGAAAAGTTGCAAGAATTGTTGGATGTCTCTTAAACCGCAAATGTTCATATCTATTGTGAAAAAAAGTTGGTTGTTTTACAAAACCACCTTTGCCTGTTGGTCCAAGTTTTCCCTGTTATATATATGTTAAGTGGGCCTACATTTCTTTTTCCCATCATATTTTTTCACTATAATAAATAAGCGGTACACGCAGATACGTGTTCTTTCAAAATGTAAAGTAGTGGGCTAATGCTTCAAACATGATGTTATTTTTTACAAAAGCATATTTTAAAAGTCGGAGCCTATAAGAAGGCTACCTTGTAAAAAATCAAAATCAAAATAATATGCGTATATATTAGGACACAGTTAAATTATTTCTGTTTTGTGGCCAAGTCTGTTTTTCAACATGCAGATCATTTTAATTGCCCGAAATATGCCCTCGAGTTTGAACCATTCACTCCCTGAATGCTGACTCGGGAACATGCGCAGAGCAATGGAAACGGCCTTTAATAAACGACCACTTCAAGTTAACTAGGGAAAACTAATCTGTGACAGGAAGTGCAGGCTTTAGCTTCAGCATAAGAGCACAGTGAATCGCTTTGGACTTTTTGAGTATTAGATGAACCCCACAAATCTTTATTATTTTAGGACACACCCCAGGATATTTAATCGGAGCTAATAATTGTAAAATCCTTAAGCCTTTGCATATTTTGTAGTGTGGAATTCTCAATATTCTTCCAAAGCAAGAAACGAGCAAGCAAAGCCCATCTGTCCCAGTAAGGACTTTTAGTTAACGTTAACACTTTTTATTTAATTTTACTTTAAAATCTAAATTCCTACCTTTTATTGTGCTACACTGATTTGATTTTGACTTTTAGATTAAATTCAAAAGGCTTTCAGGTTTTTGTTTTCTTTTATCCACTGACAAGCAGGGCCTTAAAGTTGTTTCAGACTGAGTAATATTCAGTAATATTGTTTCAGACTGAATAAATATATATTCGTATGTTTAGCCCTAACATTTCAAACTAAGGTTATTTATAAATTACAGTACACAAGTTTACAAGTTCTATATGAAAGAAAAAACGTATTTTAGTAAAGTGATTCCAGTAAGTCCATACTAGCTTTGTATTATGTTTACTGATCAATTCATGAGAACATACTTAATTATGATCAACAGTACGTTACTCTTTTTTATTGATAGCTCACATTCTCCTGCAGCCTCTACGAATAACAAAACAAACAAACAAAAAAATGACCGGGCTTTGCTTTATTTTGAAATTTCTGACCGGAAACGCCTGCCTTTGCACATGTAATTTGACGCTGTTTAATTACAGCGAGTGGTTGCAAGGTAACTTCCTCCTCCAATCCTGGCTTTTTTCCTTCGTGGGGCTAGTTGTGAAGCTCAGGCAGTGCAAATGTGTGAGGAGGGACACAGCGTAACAAAATGATTTTTGATTTTTTATCTCTCTTGAACGTCGAGTGAATTTGTCACTTTCTTTTTGCGAACGACAAGCGATAATGTTGGCGTCATGAAGACTCTGCTTTTCAGACTTTGGAAAACAAATCCGGTATTGTCGGTGAATTCTCGGGAGATGGCAGAATAGTTCGACCTGCGCCAAAACACCGAGCCATCATAAAGCACTTTGAAAAAAAACCACCCGCAAGGTAAGTGTTATCATTACGTAATTCAAATCCTATATTAACCAAACTTACGCTTTCATGTCTGTAATGTATCAATGTTACAATTCACTTAGTATCAAGGGGAAATAGACATTTTGGTAGACGTGGAGAGAAGTTAGCTGACTCGCAGGGAAATGTTTCGTGACGTGATTCTCCCATGAATCCTGTCTCCTTCCCCGATTTTCTTCCCAAAATCTTGGCCTGTGAGAAGGCTTTTTGCATCTTAAATATGATAAGCTTTAACCAGTGTATACCTTGTTTTGAGGGGCACGTCATAGAGATGTTTTTTTTGGTGATAAATGGTGATGAGTCCATCATCAAAACCCTTTAATTAAATACCTTTGGTCTGCTGGGCGACTGCTCACCACATCGCGACTAGTTGTGACTTTGTTAGGAGTTTTTTTGTCATGCAAACAGTCTTTGGGAGGGTCGTTCCTGCTTGATCGTGTGTCTCATCATCCCCTGCTGAGCTCTCTTAACATCACAATCACAGCACAGGAGGGGGGGAGAGCCAAAAACACAGGCAAAACACACAGCATTGTTTACAGTGGGTTCAATTTGGAACTTGTTTACAGCGAAGAAACGTTTTAACATCAACACAAGTCTTATTAAAAGTCTAGACCTCCATGATTTCCAGTCACAGCAAACAGAAATGATCAAGATTGCATTAGGCCAACTGCAGTTACATGTAAAGACAGTAAATCTGCTAAAGAGAGGGCGCAGACTTCATTACAGAGGTGTCAAGGCTGGCTGAAAACATTCAGAGATAACTGTGCAGATTAAAGGAAGTGTGAATGGGGATGTCTCACACTGAAGTGTTGCTCCTCAGAATCCACTCTTTGTGCTGGATCCCTGCTCTAACTAAATTACATTCCCACATACTAATCAGGATTTTCTTCTCTGGACGTCTGGGGACCACTTGATCGTGCATTTGTTTTCTTGTGCACATTTTGTTATTCAATGCAACAAAGTCTAGCTCCTCTTAATTGCATTGCATTTAATTGACCCAAACTTTAATGTATGTGCAAGCATAACAGTCTGACCGCCAAACCTGGTAGTCTTTAATCCATATGAATAAGCCACTTAAAATGTATTTAAACATTAATGACCCCCAACCAGTTAAAGCTTCTCCAGTTGAGGTTATTTGTTCTGTGTGTTTGTGTTGCTGCTGGACGATCTGGAGAATGTAACCCCATAGCTGACCAGTCGCCAAGGCCAGACCTCTTGGTGGGCGCCTGCTGTCCTCTGGGGGGGGGCTTGCATGGAGTCTGGCTGATAGTGGTCGGATAAAAGAACGTCAGGCAGTCGGGTCCTGAAGATCTGGCTCGACTGTGGGGGATGTTGAGGATTCTGTTCTTCTTATTGTCCTCGTCTCTTGGTCTACAACAATGTTATTGTTTGGCTTAAAGCCAAAGTCTTTGTTTTAAACCACCATCCTCTGGTAACTCAACCAGTTTGGAGGTTATCTGACTGTCTTAGACCAACAAAGCAACCTCAACACTACTGTCTTAACCAACCGTTTCTTTTTTAATATTATGTTGGACAAAAGTTGAAATAATACAAAATCACTTAGTTGCTTAACAGAATCTACTCATAGATTCAACACTTTTGATTGTTGGCAAATCCCATCAGTCTTATGGCTAAAAACCTATTATGTTGATTATTGATGATTAATGTTGTTATTCTTTCATCAAGTGATTGACACATTGATCTGTCAAATGTAAGAAAGCATAAAAACAATACATCACAATTTTCTATTTTATAGTTCCCCAAAGCCAAAGACGACAACAGTCCACAAAGGTCTTCAGTGATCAGAATCAACTGATACATTTTATGGATCATGAGTAATGAAGTCATTTATCAAGAAAAGTCCAAATGTAGTTCTACTTATGTAAATGTGGGATCTGAAATAGTTCAGATTTCCTTTTGCGCTTGGGAAACTGTGATAGATGTCTTTCATTTTACAGACTTGCTGCTCAATCAAAAAAAAAAAAAAAACAGGAACTTCTCATCAGATTAACTGATGCTGAAAATAATCACGAGATGCTGCAGCACCGCTTTGAACAAACTTTTGGAAATATGAGCCTTTGATCCTAATCTGAAAGTTTTTGCCTCTCCCACGCAGGCCTCATTCAAGTTTTCACTTTTGACTTCTTGAATCCTTTGGCTGCAGGTGTCGGTGCACCGCTGTGCTGTGTTATATGGTGGACATAAACGTGTAAAATTTGACAACAGAGGTCTTAGCATTTCAGAAAGAATGAGGTGAGTGTGAGGGGGGTTGGGGGGGCTCTGATAGCAATCATTTCTCTGTGCACACAGTAATTTGGCTGTCAGAAGCAGCTGGCAGTTTGGTTTGGAACAATATGCAAGCTCCCAAAAAAACCCTGAGAGAGTGTTTTAGGGGTGGGGGGAGGGATGGTGTGTGTATGTGTAGAATCAGGTTACACAGTCTGTCATTAACAAGAGAAGTGCAGTTATGAGACCAAGATAGACTGCTTCAAGTCTGAGCAAGAAGAGTCTGCGGCTCATCGCTCTTCTATGTCGGTGGCTCTCAAGTTTGGGGGGGGGGGGGGGGGGAGAGCAGGAACAGGAGGGAGGAAGGGAGGGGATTATGTATGTCTACCTGTGAGTGTGTGTATGAACGTGTGTGTAAATGCAGGTGCAAGGGGGCAACTGAGGAAAAGAGAGAGCAGCAGGAGAGTAGCAATCTCAAGCGTGTGTGTGTGTGTGTGTGTCTTAATACTAGAAAGTTTGACTAGCAACAAACCTGGCATGAGATGAGGCGGCAGGCTGCGGAGGAATACAGCATGTGGGCTGAAATTCACTTCTGCTCTGTGCTGATGTCCAGCTTTTTCAGAAAGGGGCCCTCTGTCTGCAGTGTTATTATTAGTCAAAAAAAAAAAAAAGAAGAATCCTTGAGCCTTTTTAATAATCATCATCAGCCTTATGTAGCCCAAACATATGATGATGAGAGGAGCTGTCTGGGACTTGGGGGCACTGCAGTCTCAGCATGACACAGGAAGTTAGAGGGGGGGGAGAGAATGAGATAAAAAGGAGCGCCTGTGAATATGCCAGATTTTTTAAATCCTGCTCTCCTCTTCTTCTTCTGGTGGCTCTCTACAGACATATTGATTTCTCTTGTGCTGTCTTCAAATGTGGATGGAGACATGTGGAGACAGAGAGAAGGGAGACACTGATGCACACACACATAGATCTGCAGTGCCCTCTCTCTCTCTCTCTCTCTCTCTCCCCAGACTGCACTGGAGACAGTCTGCAATACACATTTTATGAGCCCTTCACTCGCCTCAGTGCTCTTGTCTTATCGCTCAGCTGTTAGTGGGGAAAGTTGTGGCTTTGTTTCTGTTGCTGCCTCTTCCCTCTGATCTTATTCCCAGTCCCAGGAACAGGCTCTTATTTGGTGAGGGCACTTTGTCTAGGCACTGAGAATAATTTATGTTTAATCTCAGGGGGTCAAAGGTCTTAAAGCGGAGTACTTCTGATACTATGGTGGGTTTCTCATGGAAATTGTTTGATTTACTACCAGTCCATTATTTCCTGATGGAGCCAAAATGGAGAATTTGTAATGTTATCATCTTTCATCTTTTTTTTTATCTTGAAGGTAGGGCAACGCAAAATGACAGAAATCAATATTTTCAATATGTTAGAGATATCTGCATTTACATGATATAATCATAGAATCTGAGGATCTTTTTTTCGAACTAAAGGATGAATGGCTGCGATCTCAGGACTGCTAATGGGACTCTTAACAAATAAACAAACATTACTTTGGGAAATTTCACAATAGCAGTCCTCAGAAACCAAAAGATAGTTAAAGAGTCAAATTTAAAAAGACGTAGTCACAAATAAGGACCTTAAACAAATACATTTTTTTTGCTTAATGAATGATCTATTCATTTGATTTCTTTCAATTGACTTCCCTCAGACTCAAATATCTTTGAAAATAGTCAATTGCGATCAGTGCTAAGAACATTTTTTACTAGATCAAATAAATGTACATATTATGATGATTATTTTCTTAAACTTTTCAATACAAAAACAGATATGACACCATATAACCACAGTTGAAATTTGATACATGAATTTAACCCACATGCACATAGAAGCTTTAAATTCCCATGTTGACATCTCTAAAGTTTGTGTTCTGGTCTTTTTCCTCAGAAGTGTCTCCTCTCGGGAAAGCCAGAAAACTCCCGGCTGTAAAGTCTCTGTTGGCAGCAGGATGTAATGGCCCTGTGTGTAGCGCTGTATACACATTCATTGTTTTGTTGCAAGCTGTTTGCTGAGTGATTCTCACCACAGTGGTGAATGGTGAGGTCGACGTTTGTGGGTCACACAGCCATGGTTAGTATCATATTAGCCGTCTGACTCATTTAGCTCAGTGTTTGGCAGATCCACCTCAGAATGGATCAAAACAAAATCCTCCCTGAGCTTTGAGGAGCTGTCCGCACAGATTTTTTTGTCTGTTTGCCTCCTTTAATTGTTCCTCAAGAAGAAAAATGTGTTAGAAAGGTGTACAAATCAAACAAAATGTCCTTTTAGAGAAAAGTATTCCCCCCTTGGCTAGTGAACTTTGTGAGACGCTCGTTTGGAGGGGAGAGTGTTTGTACATTCCTCTGGAAGCAAACATGACTGACATTAAGACTGTGTTTGAATTGGCTGATGTTTTGATGGCCGTGTGAAAATGGATGTCTAATTGCTATGGTGACCACTGCCTAGAAGACTTGTTAACAGAGTCTTCAGTGGGCTGTTAAACCTTTTCAAGTTTAGTCCCACAGGACTTCAAACAATGTAAAGCCATAGAGAGAACCACTAGAGAACTAAAAACATCTATCGTTGTATTGAAATGTAAGTGTTGTTTCAGTTCTTTGTGCAGCCTTTGTTGTGTCTGGGGAAGATTCAGGGCTGTGTCTCTTTTAAAGCCTGTGATTTATGTATTGTCCAAAAACCCCTACATCTTCATGGAA